GAGTTGACCGTTGAACAACATGGGGGTGGGGCACTGACTCCCTATGCACGTGAAAATCTCTGTATAACTTTATTGTCGGCCCTCCATCTCAGTAGTTACACGTTCCAGGATTCAACCAAGCACGAACCATGTAGTACTGTAGCAAGTTGTTAGTGAGAAATAGCCACATATAAGTGGACCCCCACAGTTCAAACCCATGTTATAGAAGGGTCAACTGTATATACATACACACACACAATGGCACATTATTCAGCCAGGAGAGAGAAGGAAATCTTTGCATTTGCCACAACATGAGTGAATCTTGAGGGCACAATGCTAAGTGAAATAAGACAAAGACAAATACTATATGATATCACTAATATGTGGAATCTGAAAAAACAAACAAGTCATAGAAGCAGAGAGTAGAAGGGTAGTTCCCAGGGTTTAGGGAGAGTGTGAAATGAGGAGAAGTTGGTCAAAGAATACAAACTTCCAAGTAGAAAATTCTGGGGATCTAATGCACAGCATTGTGATTATAGCTAACATAAGTGTATTATAAACATAAAAATTGGTAAGAAATTAGACTTTAAATGTTCTCTGAAGAAATGGTAGTTATGGGACCTGAGGGAGGTGTTGGACAGTGCTGTGGTGGTCATCATATTGCAATATATGAGTATATCAAATCAACATAGTGTATACTTTATACTTCTACAGTATCAATTGAATCTTAGTAAAGCTGGGGAAAAATATTGAATGTAGGCCACACCTTTGAAGAAAGTTGAGTTCTATTTTTCACCTAGATGTGTAGGTGTAGTTACAGCTCCAGTGTAGGGAAGGTGTATGGTACACATGATCCATAGGTGACCCTTCTGTGATTCTGTGGGAGCTATTTTGCAAGTTTCTAAATTTTCAGTGATAGATAGTGATGGAAAATAATTCTTCTCTATAGACATGCACACTCCGTTCTGTCCAGGAGAGGTTCAGTTGACTTCCCTAGCTAGTTTTGTCTTCATTTGCACATTCACATCAGCATACTTTTACTGTAAATAAACTTGTACCTTTTGACCCTTGTCCTTTTGATTGGTTGTAGCACCTTGTTACAATTGGTGGAAACTGTTTTCCTCATTGATGTGTTAAATAATATCTTTAACTTGTGTTTGTTTTTAAAAATAAAGACTGATCAACAGGTATATGAAAAGATGATTAACATCACTCAGCATTAACTTTTCTGCTGATCTCAGCCTGTCAGTAACCAAAATTGTGGTTGGACCGGCCCTTGCATTCTTATTTTGAGTAAGCATGATGCCCTTCAGTGGTAATGATTAGGGAATTTTGAAAAAATAGGGGTGTATTACTTACAGAACCTGGAAATTACAGAGCATATTTTGGGCCATAGCTTGGTTATAGGCAGGGAGAGGGAGAGCCTAGGATTCTACTCTAATGGACTTGAGTGTAGGGACCTAGAGTATCTGGAGCTTGTTTCTTATTTTCAATCGAAGTATAGTTGATTTATAATATCATATCTGTTTTAGGTGTACAATATGTTGATTAAATACTCTTTATTGGTGAGATTGCTGTATAACAGTTGGAATTTAAAGCATGAGAAGAGAAAAATTTGTTAAATCTAGTTACCTTAAAGGTCAGTAATTAAAATCAACCAAGATCTCTAAAACAAAGGAGACCCCATTGGAGGAGGTAGCCTGCCTCTTTATCTAGTGGTGTGGCTGGCAATGTGTTTGTTTTAGATAGCCAGGTTTGAAGGATTGCCTCTTTGAGATGGATGCCTTGGTAATCAGAGCGTTAAGTCAGGCACTTGCGTTACTAAGCAGGGAAAAAATGTCGGGATATCCACTTCACATTAAACAATGCAAATCAGAGCAATGAGATATCATTTCATATGTATTCAGGTGACCTTTATCAAATAAAAAGGAAAAAAGGAAATAAGTATTGGTGAGGATGTGAAGAAATTTAATCCTTTGACATGGTTGGTAGAGCACTGGTACCAACAGGTAATATGGAAAAAATATGGAGGCTGCTCCAAAAATTAAACACAGAACTACCATATTACCCTGAAATCCTTCTTCTGACTTTTTATTCAGAAGATCTGACTCAGGATCTCAAAGAGATATTTGCCCTCCCACGTTCACAGTAGAGAAGAGGTGGAAACAACCTAAATATCCCTCAAGGATTAATGAATGAAGATGTGTAAATACATACACTGGAACATTATTCAGCCATAAAAATGAAAGAAATCTTGTCACTATGGATGACCCATGAGCACATTACGCTAAGTGAAAGAAGTTGATCACAAACGGACAAATGTTGCCTGATTCCACTTTTATGAAGCAGCTAAAATAGTCAAACGTATAGGAACAGAAAGTAGAATGCCAGTTACCAGGGCGCTGGGGGAGAGGAAAAGGAGAATCACAGTACAGTGGGTAGAGATGGCCAGGTTATGCAAGATGAAAGTTCTAGAGACCTGCTGTACAACAGTTTCATTATACTTAGTGATATTGTAATGCACACTTAATAATGTGTTAAGAAGAGAGATGTCATGTTATGTTTTTCTTTTAATATAAATTTTTTGTTTGTTTGTTTTGCAAAGGAAAGGTAGGGCATAGAATAAAAGGAACATGTGTCCTGAGAGGCTTTTATGACAGGCTCCTTTGTATTCCAGGCCTGTAAGCTTTACAAGAACTTTTATTTATCTTGATAGGTAGAGGATGCTTTGGAAAACCTTGGGGATTTCTTTGTCTAGATTTGATTTTCAGTCTTTCATTTAATCCCAAAGAAAGAATTTTAGAACAGAGCAATTTGTAATACAATCTGAAAATCAGTCATTGTGACAAAGACTTTACAGGTCATTAACCTGGGAGTAGGAGGTAAATAATTACCATAAATTTGTTACCAAAATCAAATAGAGATGGGTCAGAGTTTAGCAAACTGACAAGAGAGTCAAATTCCATTTACGAAGACAGGGTAAGGATGTATTGATTAGATTGAAATCGAGTTAAATAAAACATTTTGTAACTTGGTGTTTGTGTACTTTGCAGAATTATACTGCAGCATATATTTTGTCAAAATAGAAATACAGTGAGTATTGCATAACAAGAAATAAGAAATGCTGGTATCTTTAAAATAGTGCTGCCTTTACAGAGAAATCGTAATTGATGAGAAGTGCACTCAGATGGGTCTCAGTTGGAATCATAGATGGCATCATTAGTACTGGCCAGAACTGCAGGCCTGGGCCCTGGAAGTAACTCTCAGACATGTCTGTGCGGCTGACCATATAAATAAAGTTCAGTTAAGTGAAGTTACATATGACTTGTTTCATGCTCTGCAAAGGTATGAGGAGGTCATTCCCACCCTGTCCATTTAACAGCTATTCCCTGGTGAAATGCTCTGTAATAGATAGCCACATTTATGACATAGGAAAGACATGGACTCTTAACTCTTTCAGAAAATGACTCAAAACTATTCTTTGTGATTTGTGATTTTAAAGCAGTTCAGGAGAGAATATGAAAAAATGACCTTTTATAACCACAGAGTATGCACTGTCATGGGTGTACACACATGACAAGCGGAGATACACACAAAAGCTCCTGTGGCTGTCGAATTCACATCCTCCCTGCCCCGTGTGAGGGCTGACAACCCCTACTGGTATGAAGATGTGGCCACCCCTGAAATTTTCCGAGGATGTCATTTGAGAGAAAGCAGTCTGGTAAGACAGAGCATTCTATCAGAATTAGAGTATAGACTCACCCACCATTGGTTTTTCTCAACTCCTCCACAAGGCAGCGGGCTTCCTCCTGCACACGGTCCTCAATGCTCCTCTTCCCCATCCCGAAATTCCGCAGGGTCATGAGGGAGAAGCGACGGATCTCCTTCCATGTCTTTCCATTGCTGAACACGATTCCTACCAGGAGGGGAAACAAGAGACTAGGAGGACGGTCCTAGGGAAGGAGGAGTGAGCTGACACTTGCCAGCCTCATGGATAGAACAAACTCTGCCTGACAGGCTCTTCAAATTCCTCTTTTCCAACCTCCCCGCCCCCATTCCCAATGCTGAACATGAAACATGAACACCTACCGTATCCTTTATTAATTCTTTCAGCCAATGGGAAACTGCCTCTTCCAGAAAAATCTTCTCCACGATCAATTAAGGCTTCTTTCACTGCTTGGTATCCATGCAGCACAACGGTGGGCTTCATGCCAAAATACACAGTGAACACAGGTCCGTAGACTTTTGAGAGCTATTAATAGAGATGTGTATAATAGCAAAATAAGTCATTATTGGATAGTATATTGGGCCTGATGCAGAACGTATTATCATCCTACTTGTTATGTTTTTATTTTGTCCCATATGGCCTGAAATATTTGTGAAATTAATGAATAAATATGATGGTGATTACTGTAGACCCCATTTATGGGTGTCCTGCAACGTGCTAGGCAATGGCCAATTAATGCACAGATTATAATTAATCCTCATATTAGCACCTTTCGCAGGTTTATTTGTCCCACTTACAAATAAGGACCGGAGTCAGGAAATTGCAGTTGATTTCTAGTGTCCCATGGCTACTACATAAAAGATGCAAATTGAACCACTTCTTCGCCAACCTCTGATCATTAAGCACTATATCAATCCTCAAGGCCCACCTTTGGGCCAACACCAGGTGGACTGCTTCAGAATCACCTGTAGAGAGAGCTCTTCCCGTGAGAATTTTGATTCCTTCACCCTGTGATGAACACTACAGTTCTGTAGTTTAACAAGTAGATTCAGATCATTCTAATACCCAACCCACTTTGAGATCCACTGGTATTACTAACAGAGAAAGACAGCAAGCATCATAGAGGCAGTGTGGGACATGCAGCGTCTCACAGAACAATATCTTCCATACTTCAGCCTTCATGGGATACAGACAGCAGCTTCGTGCAGAATCCACATGAACACTGTTACCACCAGTTGGGCCCCGACTGCTTACTTCTTTGTTTCATTCACTCATGCCTGTCTTCAACTCAGAGCTATTTCCTTAACATAAGGCATAATTTGCTGCTTCAGGAAAGTTTTGTTTTCATGGCCATCTGAACAAAACACACAGCTTCTATAGTGAAAGACTTCTGCAAGGAAGTTTCTAATCAGAAAACATTACACTTACCATTGACCTTCAGCCCCAAATTACTGTGAAACAAAGGAGGTGTTATTCCCAGCTTTTGTCACTTTATTATTGTGATTCTACCACACAAAGACCTAAATGTTTCTCTGCTCACAGAACATATCATTTCACTCTTGTATTTATGACAGTGACAGATCTGAAGAGGTAAGAGAAATATCAAAATTTACAGGGAATGATTTACTTCATAATGACCCGTTTTAATAGTGTGCCCACCGGAACGTGTTTTACTTTAACAATTGGGCTAAGTTACTTACCCTTTGCAATACACTGGAGGAGCATTAAGCTTACTTACTTTGCTTAAGGATTTGCTGATGTTCTTAACATCTAACTGTAGGATATTTCCAAGAATTGGGAGAGGAGTCGGGCCAGGCGGGAGCTTCCCGTTCCGAGAGCTCTGGATCCAGAGTGAAAGGAGAAGCAAACAGGAGAGGCAGAGCACCAGGACCACAACTGGATCCATGGTTGCCTCCTCTTCTTACTTAGACAGCTGTGAGCGTGGAATCTAAAGCTTTTATAAGAGTCCCTGCTAGTTCAACCTGTGCCTCCCTGGAGTACAAAATGACCAATCAGTTACATCTGTTTTGTGTGCTATTCTGCGTGGACTTTGGCCATTGATGAAAATCAAAATAAAGTGTCCTTTAGTCTTATTTTTTGTCTGTCCAGTGATGACTCTGGAGATTCTTGTTTAGTTGTACTGGGTTGAGTTTCATGTTTGACAATTCTTTTTAAAAAAGTGATTGCACTATGCAGCCAGGACTTAGAACCACTTAAATAAATAATTTGATGTTAAAAACAGCTCAAAAGTCTATTCAAATCAATGACCATTTTGAATTTATGACTTTGAGGACAATGAGTGTATTCTATGCCATTTATATTTTAAAAGGTTGTCCTGTCATGCTATATCTAAAACTGGGATATGTTGTGCTTAAAAATGAAAGATTTTAAATTATTTTAATGTACTCTGCTAACATTACACCTGCCTCTACATAAAATAGCCAATAGTGACATGTTCAAGAGCCTTTAAATATGAAGGTGGAGTAATTATGGTTCGGGCATCCAAGATAGAAACGGGTAGCCATTGTTGGATGTGGGTCTGTTTCTGCATCACTGAGAACTTGAATTTTCTGAACTGTATCAAACTCAAGGATACTACTAGTCATTTTTAAAACAATATATGCTAGCAGCTCCTAGCTGCAACCTCATAGTTTGAAAGATTGGAACCCTTTCACTTCACAAGTAAGGAATCATTTCAAACCCCAATCAGTTTTTTTTTTTTAACACAAGTAGCCTTACTTCTTGTTAATGCCAGTACCAATTCTTGACAAACAATGTATGTATGTAACTTGTGGATTTTTGCCCTTATGAGCTTCCCCCACTTTGCGGTCTGGCAGAACACAGTTCAAGTGCTTCTTAATCTGTGTCTCCTGGGCTGTAGCCCTAATAAACCTCAATCAAATACCTCTTTATTTAAACTAGGGCTTTGTTCTTGGAATTCTTGGTTAACACTAACATAATTCAAACATCTTGAATGACCAACCACAAATAAAGTAGTTAACTAACTAAAGTTACATGCGTTTTCACTGGCATCTTCTGCCTTCCCCCCCAAAAATAAACACTGGAAGATAGATGTTACTATTGTGTGCTTTTTAAATGGGGAAAAAAGATTCTGGGAGAACAAGAGAGCTTTCCAATGTCATACAGCTCATAAATAATAAAAGTGAGGTTTTCTGATGCTCGTTGTGATATACTCACTTATTACCACAGCTACGTTAAGAAAAACTTTAGCGACACAAAACTGAACTGCTGTTAACAGAAAAAAAAAATCAATAACCAGTCTATAATCAGAAAAAGGAGACAGTTTTATCCAAGTCAAAGTGAGAACTGTAGCCCAGGAGACTGCCTCTCTGTAGCCTTGAGAAACTGTTCCAGAAAGACTTGGTTTTCATCAGTGTTTTATATCTTGTCAGATCAAAGAATATACATCAAACATGGCAGTGGTGCATTCCTTCAAGGTATCAAAAGAGACAGATTAGCATGTATACAAGTCAGTATGGCCTTGTCGGCTGGGAAGGGAACTTTATCTTTGAAGGACTACTAGCATAAGTGCCATGTAACGGAGGCCTTTTATCTCTGTCTTCAAACTGGACATTCTCTACTTCGGAGAATGCATTGTCTTCTTTAGTGATGAAAGCAGATGTATAATGTATGATAAACCCAAGGCTGTAAGACAGGCTGTTCTAGTTAACATAAAGTTCAGGTCAAATCATGTAGGAATGAGAATAACTTACCCATACCTCAATATGTGAAAACGTCTTCTAACCCCTCCACACATGTTACTCTGAATATACATCCTGCTGACTATTTACAAAATAAGGAGCTTCATATTAAATAGATGTCCCCAGACTCGAGGATGAAAGCATCACCAATTCTCAAGAGAAGAAATAATAAATAGGGATTCTCCTTTCTCCTTCACTGAAGAGGTGAAATGTGTTCGGGTAACAGGGAAGAGCCAATCTTAAGAATTTTGTGAGGAAGCTTTCAGAAGCTATGACTTACACCTCCCAGTTGCTTCCAGATACAATTGCTCCTGTTGCCTTTTGGAGTTTGTTAGGAATGCTAGAATAAAGCAGGCACAGTGTTAATAAAAACATTTTAGAAAATGCAGGCTAGATTCAAATGAAGAGACTTCCTTGGGGATTTGTTAGGACTGTAGCCTGAGAGACACGGAATTGTAAATGTGTGAACTGTGTTTTGCCAGACTACAAAATGGGAGAGGCTTATAAAGGCAAGAACTGCAAGGCTACAATTAGAATATGAGTTTTTGTTGTTGTTAAGGATTATCAGTTGGAGCTGGCAAGTAGTAAGTGTTCCTGTTAAGTAAGGATTGGTTTGGGTCCAAAATGGTTGCATAGTTGCCAGGGGAGACCTTGAGACTATAGGGTGCAGCTGGCAGGTGTTGTTTTGAATATGGCTGGTGGTGTCCTTGTGTCTGGTACAGGTCAAAGAAAGTTCAAATTCTTAGTGGTGCAGAGACGTGCCTGAGACCAGATCCTCAATGGCCACCTGACTCCACGTCTATAAGCCTGAACTGTGGTTAATCCATGTTCATTTCAGTGTGTCATCAACAGCAAGGTAGGGAGATTTTTACACAGAACAATAGGTTTGGATTCAGTGGAGGACGGGAGTCAGGGACTTCATTAAACAGACCCACAGCACAGAACCACCAAGCTGACCTAAACAGGAGATGAAATTTAGTGGTCATGAGTATCTAAATTATCACTGGAATGATATACATCACAAAGTGCTTTACAAAACATGTGTTCTTTTAAAAAATATTTTTTAAGTTTTACAATCTTTAAAAATTTTATTGAGTTATAGTGAGTTTACAATGTTGTGTCAATTTGTGGTGTAGAGCACAATTTTTCAGTCATACATGAATGTATATATATATATATTCTTTCACATTCTTTTTCACTGTGAGTTACCACAAGTTCTTGTATATATTTCCTGGTGTGATACAGTATAAACTTGTTTATCTATTCTATATATACCTGTCAGTATCTAACAATTTCAAGCTCCCAGTCTGTCACTTTCCACCCTCCTTCCCCCTGGCAACCACAAGTTTGTATTCTATGTCTATGAGTCTCTTCCTGTTTTATATTTAAGTTCATTTGTCTTCTTCTTCTCTTTTTTTCTTTTAGATTCCACATATGAGTGATAGCATATGGTATTTTTCTTTGTCTTTGTGGCTTACTTCACTTAGAATGACATTCTCCAGGGACATCCACGTTGCTGCAAATGGCATTATGTTGTCTTTTTTAATGGCTGAATAGTATTCCATTGTATAATACACCACAGCATCTTTATCCAGTCATCTGTTGATGGACATTTAGGCTGTTTCCATGACTTGGCTATTGTGAATAGTCCTCCTATGAACACTGAGGGTGCTGGTGTCTTTTTGAATTTGAGTTCCTTCTGGATATATGCCCAGGAGCGGGATTCCTGGGTCATACGGTAAGTCTATTCCTAGTCTTTTGAGGGATCTCCATACTGTTTTTCACAATGTCTGCACCAACCTGCATTCCCACCAGCAGTGTAGGATGGTTCCCTTGTCTCCACAGCCTCTCCAGCATTTATCATTTGTGGACTTTTGAATAATGGCCATTCTGATTGGTATGAGGTGATACCTCATGATAGTTTTGATTTGCATTTCTCTCATGATTAGTGATATTGGGCATTTTTTTAATGTGCCTATTGATAATTCATATGTCTTCATTGGAGAATTGCTTGTTTAGGTCTTCTGCCCATTTTTGGATTGGGTTGTTTGTTTTTTCCCTTATTAAGTCATATGAGCTGCTTATATATTCTGGAGATCAAGCCTTTGTCAGTTTCATCTTTTGCAAATATTTTCTCCCATCAAAACATGTGTTCTATGATGAGATCTTCCTATTTCTTCCAGATTCATGCCATTATTTCTAAGGTCTTTTAGTAAAGAAAAAAACTTTTTTGTCAAGATATACATAGAAAATATTTTATTCCTCATTTTTAC